TAACGCTAGTAAGTAATGGGACCAGAATTTAGCCTTAGATCTCTCCGTTTCTAAAAACACCTATTCCATGCCTACCCCCAAACACTGCCATTGGACTATACTTACCATAACTCTTCCATAGCTGATCATTTATCAAGTCGTGTGGGATCTGTGGAAACCCTGGTAGTGTAGTGGTTAAGTGTATGACTGCTAACCAGAAGGTCAGCAGTTCGAATCCACCAGTTGCTCCTTAGAAACTCTATGGGGCAATTCTACTCTGTCCTATGGGTTGCTATGAGTTGGAATCGACTTGATGGCAACCGGTTTGGTTCGGGTTTTTTTTGGTAGGATATATCTCTACATGTTTCTTGAATTAAGAAATTCATTCAACAACTATTTCTTCCTCATTTGTGTGACCTCTATTTGCACTGAATAATCTCCCAGCATGGGGGCAGTCATTAGGGTGTTTGACAAATATGCCTACCCTTTCTTCTTCCAGGTAGCTGGCGGGACTGCATTTCTGAGCATAACTTGAAGTTAGGTGGAGCCGTGTGACTTGCTTTTGCTAATTTAATGTGACTGGGTGGAAGTTTTTACCCACTGACCATGTTGGAATGTGCACATAAAATAATCAGAGTGAAGATAATGCTTAACTAAGACAAGTTAGCCTATAAACTACTATTTATGATAGTGATCAAAATTTAAGTGAATACAGTGTCTTCTGAAAAATATTTGTAAAACAAAACCAGAATGAATATAATAAATAATGTTTAATTTTTTGGTGATTTTATTAAGTGAGAAAATGTTAACGCATATGAGTACCTCGCTTATCTATTAAGACTGTATAAGTGTATAATGTATAGACACATACCTGTTGCTATCTGCTTAAACAGGAAAAAGTGAACCGGGCTTGTGAGGGAGTCCTTTAGTCCCAGGAAGTAAGTGTAGGAACCACGTAGGGACAGGGAGGAACAATGAAGATTGCTGGCCTCCTCTCACTGTTGTAGGAGAGCTGTTGATGTCCTGGCCATCTCCACGCTGGCTGGCCCATTTTCCCACTGTCAGCGGCTGAGTCTGGCCATTGGAGTAGGAGTCCATATGGAGCCCCCTGGTGCCCCCCATGTGGCAGGTCAGAAGTACTGGACCCCACGGGTCTGCCCTCAACCAGTGAGACTTGCTGGGGAATCTCCAGCTCCCTTACTTCTTGGTGGGGTGATTTGGAGGTGCCTATTCTACACAGTCTCCCAGAGTCTCTGCAGGATTAGGATTACCATTTCCCCACAAGGTAACTTACCTGATAATGTACCCTGCTTTGCCTTCCATCTCTTCTCTATCTCTCTCTCCACGTCCCTCTTGCGCTTCCTGAGACCACCTCTCCAATAAACTACCTGCATTGGAATCCTTGTCCCAGAGTCCGCCTCTGGGGGACCCAATCTAAGATAACCAGGTAGAAGTGAAATCCAGCTGTGCACTAGCACTGGTTGTCTTTTTATAAGGAGCCCTGGTTGCACAGTGGTTAAGCACTTGGCTGCTAACCGAAAGGTTGGCAGTTTGAACCCACCAGCTGCTCTGCAGGAGAAAGATGTGGCAGTCTGCTTCTGTAAAGATCACAGCCTTGGAAACCTATGGGGCAGTTCTACTCTGTCTTATAGAGTCACTATGAGTTGGAATTGACTCGGAACAATAGGTTTTTTGGTTTTGTCATGTTTTATAACCAATTAAAAATAGAATTCAATAGAAAGTTCCAAAATCACAACTCAGCCAAAAATCCTATGGAGAAGAACTAACTACACCAACTTAATCTCTTATACTATAGGAAATGAAAAGCTTACCAATTATAGTAAACTTCTAGTAAGAAATATTTACACTTTTAAAACCATCAACAGCTGTTTGTCAGAATAGCATGATGAAGTAATGGAATTGCTAGTTACATAAATCTTGGAGAATCTATACTTTTTGGGAAAAACATTAAGTTTCAAAGACAAAAATCGGAGTGAAAAAGAGAGATTTAAAAAGAAGGACATCATGCTTGGTAAAGTAGCGGATCAGCGAAAACGAGGAAGATCCTCAATGAGATGGATTGACACAGTGGCTGCAACAATGGGCTCAAGTATAATAACAATTGTGAGGACGACGCAGGACTGGGCAGTGTTCGTTCTGTTGTACATAGAGTCGCTATGAGTTGGAACCAAGTCAACGGCACCTAACAGCAACGACAAAAATCCTATGCTGCGATAAGTAAAATTTTATTATAAAAGGGATCTTAGTCTGATGATCAGTGGCTTGGGCTTCAGTTACCTTGGACCACACAACCATGTTCCGCATTTGGACCAACATTCCAAATTCAGTATCTGGAGGATTTTTTTCTTTGAAGTAATTCAGTTTCTCTATAGACTAATCCCCAAATCTGCCTGGTGAAATATATGGCAGGCGACCTCCTGGGAGTGAAGGGTGAATGGGAAGTGGGGGAGGGTACAGCTTACCCTTCACTATGCATCTGCTCCCTTAATCCCCTTGTTTTTAATATCATCCCTGCCCTTGGCTGTACCTGGTGTCCTTGAACTCAGGACCTCTCTGGTTCAACTTCCACATCTCTTAGGATGATGGGGCTTGGGTCATTGGCTGGTTGTGCAGGAACTGGGTTGTTGTTAACTGCCATAGAGTCAACCCCCAACTGGCAACCCCATGCACAATGGAATGAAACACTGCCTGTGCCCTCCATGATCGGGTACAGATCAGACTGTTGTGATCCACAGGGTTTTCCAGGCTGATTTTTGAAAGTAGATTTCCAGGGCTTTCTTCCTAGTCCGTCTTAGTCTGGAAGCTCTGCTAAGACCTGTTCAGCATCATAGCAACACAGTTCTTCACTGAGGATGGAAGATGCATTGGCCAGGAATGGAATCCAGGTCTCCTGCATGGAATGTGAGAATTCTACCTCTGAACCACAATGCCTGCAGTACTAGAGTAGGGGATCTGAAATTGTAAATGCTCTTTATACAGAATCTCAGCCAACTATCTATTTTTCTAGCTCTACCACTCACCTTCACCTTCTGAGGTATCTGGTGCCTCCATTTCCTGAGCTTTCCGAAAGCCTGAATCAGCTTGTTTCTCTCTCCCGTTTCCCTCTGCAGGCACTTCTAGTTTAGCTTTCTCCACTTTGCTTAGTCACTAACCTATCTCTGTTCAGCCTTCAGAAAACTTGTTGATATACCTTGTCCACTGCAATCTTTTCTTCAGTTCTCCTAATGGAATTTTAATCTAAAGAAAGTCTTTGCTGCCATTTTTAGCAGGGTTTGGGAAAGAAGTAGAGACGCTGCCCATGTTCAGTCCACTGCAACGAATTAGAAGCCCAGCAGTCCTTTCTAGTTTTGTTTTTGGGGACCCTTCTTGCCACGAGGGGTTCAGTGGCAGAATTTTCTCCTTCTACACGGAGACCTGGGTTCAATTCTTGGCCAATGCATCTGATGCACACCCACCACCTCAGTGGAGGCGTGTGTGATGCTGTGACGCTGTACAAGTTTCAGTGGAGCTTCCAGACTAAGACAGACTAGGAAGAAAGGCCTGGCAATCTACTTCTGAAAACTAGCCAGTGAAAAGAAAACCCTATGGATCACAATGGACAGATACGCACTTGTCATGGAGATGGCACGGGACAAGGCAGCATTTCTATTTGTTGTGCATAGGGTTGCCATAAATCCGGGCCGAGTCAAGGGCAGCTAATAACAACATCTTGCCGTGCATTCTTCAATTCAGCCTCACCATGTTAGGGGAGAACTTGCTCGTTCTCCTGCGGAGCTGCTGTTGGGTTCCAACTGCTGACCTTTTCAGTTAGCAGCCTAGCTCTTTCATCATGGTGCCACCAGGGCTCCTTAAATGGCAAATAGATTACTGTATATAACTTTATAGCTAAAACAGCAGCCAAAAAAAAGAGGAAGGAAAGGCTGCAGCTGTTGAAACTGCATAAATACAAATAAACACCTCATGGGAATAGTTTTCTTGTATCAAAGGCTTGGCCCAAAATTGTCTTCAGAGTTTCTGTTGTACCTCCTAGTTCAGTGGGTAGTGCCTGGAGTCTTAAAAGCCGAGCAGCCTCGCAAGATACAACAATTGGTGTCTATTTGCCTGGAGCAACAGAGGAAGAAGGAGACCCAGGAATTGGAGAAGGTCTAATTGCCTTAATGAACTACTACCTCCTTTGCCATGAGATCAGAAGAAATGAATGGTGCCCGGCTACCATCACTCAATGTTTTGATCAAGGACCCAATAGTTGTATCTTGATCTAAGGGAGGAGAAAATGTGGACCAGAACTTCAAATTCTTATTGGAAACTAGACTCACTGGATACATTGAGACTAGAGGAAAAATCTATTGCCTGGAAACAACTTTTAACATTTGAACCGAAACTATCCCACGTAATCATCTTTAAACTAAACAATTTAGCTCAGGTAATAAAGAATGTTCGCCTTGAGCACTGCACTCTTTTAGAATTATCTATATGAGATTAAATAGACAACAGTAACTAAAACACAGGTGAGAACTTTCAAGGGGGCAGAAAGTCCAAGTTAATGGTGGTGAAACAATACGGGCAGGGGTAGGGAGAATGGTGACACCACGTGAAGTATGTAACCACTGTCAATGCGCTGTACGTGTAAAAACTGTTGAACGGGTGTATGTTTTGTTGTGTATATTTTCACATACACACACACAAAAGCCTTGTCTCTCTTGGCCTCCTGACCCTCCATTCAATCATGAAGCCAAAGGCCTTAGCCATCACCGAACAAAGAGCTCATTGACCATTTAACCTTCCAACCCGACAGCTTTTGTGGTCTGCTAATCTAGCCCACAAAAGCCAGCCCGCTGCTCTTTTGTTCTTCTGGAGCCTGGGGACAGTGTGGAGCTGAGCTCAACAGCTGATCGGCTCTAGAACGTCCCAGCGACTTGCTGGGGGCCTCCGGTGTTTATTTAGCAGGTTGCTGGCCGGCGGGGGCCTCGTGGAGGGACGGTTTGAGCACCCAGATGAGCATGTACAGGCGCAGCTACGTCTTCCAGACCCTCAAGGAGCAGTACAAGCGCTCCGAGGAGACGCCGAGCTCCTCGAAGCCGGATGGCCTGTCCGCGAGCGCAGGCGCGGCGCAGAGCCTGGCGGCGGTGCAGGGGCTCGGCCAGCGCGTGGCCGCCTACGTGCAGCGGGCCCGCGCACTCGAGCAGCGCCACGCCGTCCTCCGCCGGCAGCTGGACGCCTTCCGGTGCCTGGGCAACCTGCCCGACCCGGAGGAGGCCCTCGCCCGGCAAGTTGAGGGTAGCCGCCAGCGCGTCCGGGACCTGGCGGCGGAGCGCGCGCGGCTCGAGCGCCAGGGCGCAGAGGCGCAGCGCGCGCTCGACGAGTTTCGGAGCAAGTAAGCGTTCGCGGTGGGGGGAAACTGAGGCAGGGCGTCGGCGGGTCCGGGGGTACGGGAGGACGCTGTGACCCGGGTTGGAGGGCGGTTTCTGGTCTCCCGGCGCTGATGATCTTATCTTTTCCAGGGACACGCACGTGGCACATTTCTTTAAGATAAGACTAGCTTCCATTTTGATGACATTTCACAGATTACAGAGCCCTTTTATATAAAATGGTGTCATTTAATTTTTTATGCATTTTTAAAGCTAGATATAATTTATATACAATAAAATGCACAGATATTAAGTTCATAGTTCAGTGAGTTTTGACAAATGTGTATACCTTCGTGGAAACCCTGGTGGCGTAGTGGTTAAGTGCGGCAGTTAGAATCCACCAGGGGCTCCTTGGAAACTCTACGGGGCAGTTCTGCTTTGTCCTGTAGGGTCGCTGTGAGTCGGAATGGACTGGACAGCAACGAGTTTGGGTTTTTTGGTTATATACCCTTGTACCACCCAAACAAGCAAGATATTTCCACACCCCAGAAAGTTCCCTCCTGCCCTTTTCCAGTCAATCCTCCCAGTCCCCCGCCCCACCAGAGGCCCTCAATGTTCTGATTTCTATCGCCATAGATTAATTTTGCCTGTACTGTTGTTGTTAGGCGCCCTGCAGTCGATTTTCAACTCATAGTGACCCATCTGACAGAGTAGAACTGCCCAATAGGGTTTTCTAGGCTGTAATCTTCATGGGAGCAGATCACCAGGTCTTTCTCCTGCGGAGCCACTGGATGGGTTCCAGTTGCTGGGTGGGTTCGAACTGCCAACCTTTTGGTTAGCAGCAGAGTGCTTAACCATTGGACCGTGGGGTTCCTTTGCCTGTTCTAGAACTTCACAAAAATGGAATCTTACAGTATGCAGTGTTATATGTCTGGCTCCTCTTGCTCAGCACGGTGTTTTCGAGATTCATACATATTTACTCCTCACAACTTTATCCTGTTATAGACAGTACTGCCCGTTTTACAGACTAGGAGACTGAGGCTCAGAAAATGTAGGGATTTGGGGCAAGGTCACTCAGCTGATAAATTGCTGCACTGGGGCTGGGATTCAAGTCCTGGGCATGCTATGTCTAATTAATTGTCTTTTCATCACATCCCAGCTGACACCTGGAATTATATTTTAATGTGTCCTCTAGGGTCTTGCTCTTCAGAAGTGTGGTCTATGGACCAGCAGCATCAGCATTACCTAGGAGCTTGTTAGACATACAGAACCTTCAGCCCCTTTCCAGAACTCCTGAGTCAGAATGTGTATTTTAACAAGATCCAGAGGTGATTCCTAGTTTAAGAAATTAAACAGTGATGTTTAAGAAGCCCTGCTTCAGGGCACTGTTCCTGTGGGTTAAAATCACCCAAGGAATTGTTAGAAAAACAAAAAACTTGCTCAGCAATTGTTAACATATTTTAAAGTTATAAACACACGTGCTCTTTGACTCAGGAGTGTCACTTCAAGGAGTTTGTTCTATAGATACCCTCTAACAGATCTGCCATAGCAAAAGTCTGGAATGAACCTAAATGACCATTAGTAGGTGATGGCTGATAAAATTGTGGTTCATCCATGCAATGGAATACTGTGCAGTTGTAAAAAGGAATAGTATTTTTTTTTTTAAAAAGAAAGGGGGGAAAGAATAAAAGTTTTTTTTTGCTTGCATAAGGGTAGAGAATTTCTGGACACAAACACCCGCAAAAATAATAACACTGGCTACCTGTGGAGGGGAAGGGAGTAGGAGCTGGACAAACGGAGACAGATGTGGGACGGAGACTTGTAACTGCATGCATTTTTATATCTTTTAAAAAATTGCTTAACCATATGTCTTAGTTATCTGGTGCTGCCATAACAGAAATACCACAAGTGGATGGTTTTAACAAAGAGAAGTTTATTTCCTTACATTAAAGTAGGCTAAAAGTCCAAATTCAGGGTGTCAGCTCCAGGGGAAGGCTTTCTCTCTCTGTCAGCCTTCTTGTCAATGTTCCCCCCCCGACTAGGAGCTTCTCTGCATAGGGACCCCGGGTCCAAAGGATGCGCTCTGCTTCTGGCACTGCTTTCTTGATGGTATGAGGTCCTCCTGTCTCACTGCTCACTTCTGTCTTTTATATCTCAAGACATTGCCTCAGGACACAATCCGATCTTGTAGACTGAGTCCTGCCTTACTAATACAACTGCTGCCCATCCTCCCTCATTAATACCATACAGGCAGAATTTACAATATATAGGAAAATCACACAATACCAGGAATCATGGCCCGGCCAAACTGATACACACATTTTTGGGGGGACATAATTCAAACCATGACACCATGTAAGAGAGTTATCCATTTAGAATTATATAAATTAGTTTGATTTAAAAAATACAGATGTCCAGGCCCTACCCTGGACCTCAAGCGGGGGTCTAGGAATTTTAATTTTTGACAAGCTCTGTGGGTAATTCCAGTGAACAGTCAGGTTAGGGGAACCCTGATCTGGAGTACCCAGAGTATTTTCTCCAAACTTGTTGAAGTTCCACCTACTCCACCCCAATTTTCAGCAGGTTATTCAACATAGTACACGGAGCACATTTATCAAATCATATTCATTGATGATTCAATTCCTATCAACCTTTTTGGTTTTGATCCACAGAAACAGATTTGGAGCTGGAAAAGGGACCTGGAAATCCCCTTCATGGGGAAGCTGAGGCTTAGAGAGGGCCTGTGGTAAGACTCGAACTTGGGTTTTCTTGCCCTGGGCCCGTGCTTTTCCAGAACAGCATGTCCTGGAGAGAGGCCGTTCTTGGACTCCTATGGAATGGTGCCCAGAGGTAGGACCACATTCAGATGAAGCACATATTCTCCAAAGTGAAGGGAAGAGGACACTGGTTCAGATGCTCAGGGCAGCTCTCAGGATACCTTAGGTCCAGAATTGTCTTTACCTGGTTGTTAGGCCATGGTCTGCTGTGATTTCACTGGGCAAGTGTGACTCCCAGGAGCCCTCTTTGAAGGAAGGCCCTGTTGAGCTTTCCCTGTCTTTCCTTGATTTCACTTGGTTCTGAGTTACCTGCCCATCATAGAACAGTTCTTCAGGTTCTATAACTTATGTGAAAATTTTCTTTAATTTATTCCCAGCCACTGCTCAGAGGTTTTGATATTTTGACTGTGGTAGTGGGATTTGAAATTTGTTATAAAAATTACACGTACACACACGCGCACACACACACGCATTCTCAGTTTGGTTTTACATTTCAGAGGTGAATTGATGACTAGCCAAAGCCAGGTGAAAATAAGGCAGAAATGGGAAGGTGTACGCAGCTTTGGTTCTATTTCAGCATTAGGCATTTAGGCATATTCTGTACCTGGGTAGTTGAATAATTTCAAAAATCAGGTCTTCAGAAGATCAAACAAAGGCTAAATAAGACAAGAACTAAAAAATAAGTAAAAGTACCCAAATACAATGAATAGAGTCAATTGTCAATTATTGAAAACCACAAATAATTTATTTAAGATAATTAGATAATTGAAGCCCAAGTGTTTTTTAAATGAGTTTACTTATGTATTTATTTATGTAAATATATATGACCATATGAGTTCTTTATAATGAAATCACTTGTATTTAATATAGTATACAGACTTGTCTTTATAGTATATTACCCATGATACCACTTTAGTGTACTATTTATCAAATATGCATTTAAGCTACAGAAACTCTTAGATATTCCTAGCAGGTAAGAGCAATGAGAAAATTAGATTTTGTTAAAAGTTTTATTCTTAAAGCTAATTATCCACATAAAGATAATTTCTGGGTCCATTAGAGCCACACACAAAAGAAATGGCTAAATGTGACATCCTGGTGTGAAATGTACAACCTGTGCAAGTACGTTTTGCTTACTGGTTCTAACTGAACTTCTTAGATGGCTTTAAAACTGTGCACACATTCCTGATTGTCCTCCCCTGAGTTCAGGACTTTAATTCTGAGAAAACAGTTCCAATACTTTTCACGTTTGTGAATATGGGCATCTAAAGCTATGTTTTGTTGGTTGGGCTGAGTGTTAACTAGGATTAGTTTCCACTGCAAATGACATAAACTTGGCAGTGACAGTGGTTTATCCAAGATGGAAGACTGTTTTTCTCTGTGTAAGGTCTGGGAGAGCAGTTTAGAATGCTGCTCAGCAGTATTCGACAGCATCCATGTTTCAGCCTGTAGGGTGGAGGGAGAGATGCGGAAGAGAGACAGGGAAGAAGAGGCAAAGGGCAATGGAAGATTTCTGGAAGCTGCCACACACACTTAAACAGTTTGCATCCCATGACTTAGTCAGACCTAGCTGCAAGGAAGGCTGGTAAACACAGTCTCCTTCGAGGCAGCCGTGTTCCCACCAAACATCAAGAGTTCTAACCCTGTGGAAGAGGGAAGAATGGATATTGAGGGGCTCTGTACAGGGATGAAGGGAGGGGTCATTTGGAAAGGACCTTCTCTCTTCAAGGGATGAAATTTCCAAAGTTAACCCTCACTCTGATCAGAATGATCCCCATTATTTTCTAGAAGTCAAGGAAATAAATTAACTAGAAGAAAAAATACACCTGCTTCTAGTATCTGTTGCTTCTGTTGGTGGTGTGGTTGTTAGAGCACAGGTGTGGTGTCAGACAAGTATGAATTTTGACTTCATGGCTCTCGTAGTTTGGGGTCCTCCAGGAGCCAGCCTTGAAACAGAGATTTGAGGACCAAGTGGCTTATTTGGCAGATGGCCTCAGAGCTCCAGTAGGATAGTGGGGAAAGGAGACAGGGAAGGGGAAGAAGCTAGTACTGAGAGCATTAGCAAGCAAGTGACCATCTTGGGCAACTGCAGACCAACCTGTGGGGGCTCTCAGAGCCAGTGTAAAACACATCTCAGTAATCCCAAGTAAGGGACAAGGGAGCTGGGGTATTTATGCACCAACTCCCCATCCTTCAGAAGTTGAGGGCCGCTCGCCGAGGCACTGCCTCTGGTGAGTCCAGCCTGTCCTGCTCACTGGTCCAGAGGAAAGCCTTCGGTGTACAGGTGAAGTACTGACAGCATCTGCTTGAGGCCTTGGACAAGCTTCTTAGTTCCCATTTTCCTATCTTTAACACAGGTGTAACAATAACTGCTCTTGTAAAGGGTTTTGTGAGGATAAATGACATAATCCAGAAAAACTGACATATGTTACACGTATCAATAAATAAAGTAGTGTAGGAAATCCACACTGAGGTCAGGTTAGTGGTGTTTGCTGTAGGTTGTGTAGGGCCACCTCCCAGTCTCTGTTTCACTGCTGCACTGGGTTCCAGGTGTGCCAATAAGGGATTTCCTTATCCTCAGGGTGACTGGGCTGCTGGTAGTGTAGGATAGGGTGAAGGGCAGGGTAGAGGCGCGGTGCTGGAGCCCCCAGGCTGTAGACTCCTGGTCCATTTCAAAAAAAAAGAAAAATCAAACCTGTTGCCGTGGAGTTGATTCCAACTCCTAGCGACCCTATAGGACAGAGTATACTGCTTCCAGTGACCCCATGTACTGTGCAAATACTATCCCTTTCTCCATGCACTGTGATGTGAACAAGGTTGGAAAGTAGTGGGCTAGGAGATTCAGCATTACTTACTGCTTTAGAGTGAAGAATTTGTCACTTCAGCCTTAAAGGAGACAGTGTAGTACTCATCTTAGAAAAACTGTGTGCTGATTGTGTGATCAACACATATGAAATCAGGGAAGCTGCCCAACTCTTATTTATGTGTCCAATTTTCAGGTATGAAAACGAGTGTGAATGTCAACTGCTGCTAAAAGAAATGCTTGAACGGCTTAACAAGGTGAGCTGAACACGTCCTGGATTTATGTAGGTTAATTACCAGCATTGAACTAAATGGCTGAAATGATCGTTTCTTCTATCTCCTCTTTGTATTACTACTTTAGGATTCGCCAGTTTCCTTAGCTGTCACTCTCTTTCTTGACTTCTTAATTTCAACTAAGTCTTTGTGTGTGAACTCACACACCCATACACAGATGCACACATACCGTTCTAATACAGTATACATGGTTTCATGTTAGAAATATATCTATTAAGCTTATAGGTGATGTTAAGCTGCCGTGATGGGGCAATGGTGGTTCTGTGGTAGACTTCTCACCTTCTGCGTGGGAGACCTGGGTTTGAATCTCAGCCCACATACCTCATACGCAGCCACCTTCTGTCTATCAGTGGAGGCTTACATGTTGCTATGATGCTGAACAAGTTTCAGTGGAACTTCCAGACGAAGATGGACTAGAAAAAAAGACCTGGTAACCTACTTCTGAAAATCAGCCAGTGAAGATCCTGTGGATCACAGCAGACCCATCCGCAGCTGATCATGGTGATGGCGCAGGTCTAGGCGGCGTTTTGTTCTATTGTGCGTGGGGTCGCGTGAGTTGGGCGCAACTCAAAGGCAGCTAATAACAACAACAAACTGCCAAAACATGCCAGCATTGCAGTGACCAGCTGGTACTTTACCATTCAGACATACTGGCACCAAACACCAAACTTCGGAAGGATCTTGCTTTGGGCCGTGGTTGGTTATTTGAATCCAGTGATTGTCTTCTTGAGATTGCTTCTCCACAGGAAAACTCTTGAGAGAACAGAGGAAGAAATTTCCATTTCCTCTCAAGCTCCCCTCTCACAGAGCATGAAAAGTAGCCACAGGGGGACCATCTGGATTCTTAGCTTCTTGCTAGAGGCCTTCCTGTAGGGGTGTGTGGGGTTGTCATTTGCAGAGGCAGTTTCCTTTCTTGGATCCTCCATCATCATCCTAACTGATCGGATTTTTTACTTTAGCCTGGAGAACTTATCCTGGACAACAGAGGCTGGACAAAACCAGGGATGGCAAATAGCTGTAAGCATAACCCATTTCTGCTCATTTCAGAGCACAAATATTGGAGCGGAAGGGCCCATGGAGACTATTTAGTTGAAGGGTTGCTTATTCAGGGCACAGGGTCTATCATCCTCATGCCTGTAACCTCATCAGAATTGCTGACAAAAGTCAGCATTCAGAATTGCCAGTAAAATTCACCCTTTCCTGCTGTGTCTAGATTTTGCCTTTGAGTTCTTCACAAAGAACTCCAGGCAACCATTTCAGACAGCCAGGGTGAGTTCAGGATGTTTGCCATCCCTGGCGTTTGTCCAGTCTCTGTTGTCTACGGCTGTTCTGCTAGTTGGTGGGAAAGTCAGAACTAGAATCCAGGAAAACTAAATTTAGCCTTGCCCATGTTACTTACTGCATGATGCTTCTATGCCCTTTCTCTGGGTGAGCATATAATGTATTATCCAAGCCAGGACAGTTGTATGAAAGGGGTGCTGTCAATGACTACGCAGGTCAGTGGACATAAACTGGGGCTGTCTCTGGCCAGCCAGCACACATGAGCCCCCGAGGCTGTGAGAATGTGCTTAAGGAGAGCCCTAAGTGGCCCAGGCTCAGTGGTTGGCCTCGAGGTAGAGATGGGTCCCTAAAGCCTGTTGAAAGGCCGAACTGAGATTTTGGCCTTAACATCCTACACTGCCCAGCTGTTTGGCTGAATACTTGTAGCTTGTCCGCATTCTTACTTTTGGTGGTGATTCCAGGTTGCCAGATGGAGCCGCCATCTTGTCCACAGACTACCGCCTTCAGGAACTTAGATATCTAACATCCCTCACTTAGATGCTGATTGAATCCCTCTCAAACCCCCTCCCCAGTGCCCCATCCCCAACGCTACCACCGTTTTGCTTTGTGAGTATTTATCCTCACTGCAAGGAGGACTTTCTCTGGACTACCTCTAAGATTGTTACTCACACCAGTGCCATCTTGTTTACTCTTCAGAGAAGAGGGAGAAAGAATGTAGTTCTTTTTACCATTGTTGGAAAGTGACATTGAATTTAAAATCAAGCTCAAAACTTCCATGAAACGTAGTCTCAGTATAAAAAAGACAATACAGATAATGAAGAATAAGGGGGAAAAAAAAAAAAACCCGTTGCTGTCGAGTCAATTCTGACTTATAGTGACCCTCTAGGACAGAGTAGAACTGCCCCGTAGGGTTTCCAAGGAGCAGCTGGTGGATTCAAACAGCCAACCTTTTTGTTAGCGGCTGAGCTCTTAACCACTGTGCCACCAGGGCTCCAAATAAGGAAAAGGCATCCACAATTTCACCACCCAGAGAAAATGGCTATAATGCTTTCACATATATTGTGACACAGAGTGTGGATGCCTGAAGTTATCAGCCCCATAGGAATATCATGAAGGTTCTGGGGAAAGAACCTACCAAGAACGTGGGTGAAAGTCAGTACAAGGAATGGACGTGACTGTTGCCTGGGTCCGGAGGAGGATGCTGCTTTCCACAAATGAGCTGCTCAGTGCAAACAAGGAGTAGAGCCTTTTCATAGGACCCTCGTGCCGCTGCAGGGCTTTGGGCGAATTGCTTTATCTCTCTGAGCCTCAGCTTCTTTATCTGTGGGTAAATAGCCCTCACCACATAGGAGTGGAAGTCGGTTGATGTGCCTAGTGAGAATTAAATGACATCATAATGTGTGTGACTTGCCTGGCACGTGGTAGGTTGCCATTCTTATTGTGGAGCACGTGACATGACAGATGCCAGCTGAGTTTTCTCCCAAAAGTAGATGCATAACCTGTGAAATGGGAGGTGATTTTAGATGGCGCGTGGAGGACAATTTTTTAATAGTTGTGAATTTATTGTTATAATTGCCTTTTATTTAAAGTAGGTGACATACAAAGTTTCTTTTGAAATAAATCTAAAAATGAATCAATTAAAATAAAAATATGGTGTGAATAATAGCACAGGTGGTGCTGGCATATAGCAGAAATCCATATGCCAGTATGCGGATGCAGGAAGCTGGGGTAGTCCTTGCACTGGCTCACGTGATCCTCAGAACAGCATTAGCAGCTGCAAGGAAAGTGACCCTTACATTTTTGGAAAGGTTTTTGATGTGCATGGTTGAAGTAAAAGCGTGTTTTAATTAAATCCTAGTTAATTAGATTATCTTAATAAACTCGAATACCAATTCTTTAGCAGATGGGTTCCATTTGTTTGTTTATTTTTTTAGCAGGTGGGTTTAAAATGGAGTTTCTAGAATCCCTGTGAATGGGTTGGGGAGGCTGGTTTTAAAGGTTAATTGGACTCTAGTTATTTCTCCAATCCCTTTCTCAAAAGTGGTTGTAACTAGTCTAGACCAGTGGTTCTCAAACTTGAGTGTGCATCAGCATCACCAGGAGGGTGTGTTAAAATCAGATTGTTGGACCTCACCCCTGAAATTCTGCTCCAGTTGGTTTGGGATTGGCCAGAGAGTTTGCATTTCTAGCCAGTTCCCGGGTGATGTGGTCCAGGGACCATGCTTTGAGAACCACTGGTCTAGATTTAGACCATACACAATATCAGGCTTAGGATATATTGAACAATGTTTCTGAAATTAGACTATTGACTCAGAGTCTCATTGTGAAAAATCTAGAGGCTTCTGCTGGTGGAGCTTTAGAAAATACAGCTGACAGCATCCAAAGCATAATAAAAACACAGCATCTACACATTTCTCAGTCCTTGTGCAAACAAAAGAAAATGCTTCTGAATGAATTCTACTCGATATGTCAGCAACTGTACATTCCATTGGCACCTACTCACCGTTGGGGGGGTTTTGGGGTAGTTTATCAGATGATTGCCTTCAAAGCGAGAGAATATGCTTACAGAAGCACCTGGTTGAGTCCCTATTTGAAGGACAAATATTGACTGGCCTTTTATTATCACCACAAGAAATTTTCATTAGAGTTTTAAAGGCTTGGCTGATGGGACCCAGAAGCAGCTTGTTTTGGCATGATCCTAGGGTAGGTAGGGAATAACGGCAGGCACCTTGAAGGGTAGGGGTCAGGAGTCAGCACTTGACTAGTAGAGAGAAGCCCAAGACAGGTTCCAGCCCCACTGTGTCTCGTTAACTTCCATTAACTAGCTGAATGTTGCGTTGTTCTTAGCTGCTGTGGAGCTGGCTCCCACTCATGACGACCCCACGCACAGCAGAACAAAAGCTGCCCGGTCCAGCGCCATCCCCACGATCGGTTATAGATTGGACCTTTGTGATCGTAGGGTTTTCATTGGCTCATTTTTGGAAGTAGATTGCTAGGCCTTTCTTTCTAGTCTACTTTAGTCTGGAAACTCTACAAAAACCTGTTCAGCATCGTAGCAGCATGAAGCCTCCACTGACAGATGGGTGGTGGCCATGCATGAGGTGCATTTGCTCGGAGTCAAACCCAGGTCTCCCACATGGGAGGGATGAATTCTACCCCTGAACCACCAAAGCCATTAACTGGGACCTTGAACCCACTTGATCTGTGTGGCCTTAGCTTCCCCATCAGTAAAATGAGAGTCTAGTTTTCTCACTGCATTTGCAGAGTCCTCCGGTTCCAGTGAATTGCTTGAAGGCCTCTGAGGGAAGAGGGTTGCTGGGCAAAAGGGAGTGCTTTCGGTCCCCTGTCATGCCCGCCATGAGGAGCATCTCTGCTTTGCCCTTTTATATGTTGACTCCATGAGATGTATTTGAAGAGTGACACCTGTGGCTTGAAAAAAAGTTTGAGGACCAGTGACCTCTAGTGTCCCTTCTATTTCTAAAATTCTGAGTATTTAATCCCTTTATAAGGAATAACACAAAGGGTCCTTGAAGCCCTATTTCCAGTTCTTCAGCTCCAGTAATTGTGGATAAACTGTGGATGGATTTTTGGTAAAAATTAAGACGATTAAGAATCCTCCACCCCACTCCCACCCTCCAAAGTCTTCAGAGAAGCAGAAGGAGGGTAGAAGAATATCCAGAGTG